CATCATCTCAATGATTGACAATTTTGTTGATTTAGTTTCATTGATATGAATGGGGAACAACAATCAACAATTTTATACCTTTTTTTTTTATTCCATTAAAAAGGAGTAAGAATAATAGATTAAGTGATTCTGATAAGAAATTGATGAGGAAAATAAAGTCTATCATCATGTTCCCCATGATGATGATGATGATGAAAAATCACTTCAATTCGTATTCATCTTTGTTTACAGAAGATGAAGATGACAAAAAAACAAAGAGAAACAGTAATATTGAGATGAGAAAAAATCAGAATCCTGAATCAGAATTTCCTTGGTGTTGGATTGATAAATTACCATTGAAGATGAACAAGTGAATGGATGTTGATGATTATCATCATCATCTTCATCCGAACAGTGGTCATCTTGTTTACGGTTCTTGATTGAAAGTCTCCTTTCTCTATTCAACTGACCAACTAATTTCCTCTATTCTATTAATAGTTATGAGTTTATTGTTTTTTTTTCTCCTTCATCTTTTCGCCTCACCCTTTTTTCATCATCGCTCTTTTGTTTCTCTCTCATTGAAAGATGATGATTGTGATGATAATATTGTCCACTTTTTTGTCGTTGTTATTGTCCGGAAAATAACATCTCTCAACAATCAACATCATCAAAAAGCTTCAACTGGATTTATGTCAATGATGTAACAATAATGTATTGGAAAGGTCAAGTTAACAATTGTTGGAAACAAAGTCAAGTAACAATCAACTGATTATTGTTAACTATCATTTTGTCACATTCAGTTAATCATCATAATTAAAAGGATAATGATACATGTTATTAGATTGAAACAGTTTGATTAGATTGATTTACATGAATCAATAAGATTTGTGACAATCAAACATATGAATTGAATTACCTTTTGATTTTTACGTTTCTTTTTTTTCACTTTTCTTTCAAATCAGTTAACTTGTATTGTCACTGATTGTCACTGATTGTTGTAAATGGATTAAGATAATAACATTGTCACTATTTCCTCATGAGAGTTAAATTGTTCAGAAATTGACAGAGTTGGTTAACTGAGAATGATACAAATTGTTAGTGGTTAGAAATCAGTAGATAGATTAAATTGATCTTAATCGATAGATGATAAGAAAACAATTAATCTTTGACAATTTAATGTTCATTTTTTTTTCACTTGATTCGATTAAATTTTCAATCTAATGTGATATTTAAACTCGATAATGATGATGATTAACTGAAGATTTGATTCTAATTGTTGGCATGATGATTGGATAGGAGAAAGAGGAGATTTTTCTGCTGACTTCTCAACAATTAGCAGAATTGAAAATTAATTTAGTTTAGTAAACTTGTTAATTGTTCTTATCCTCTTTGGATACAATCAATAGTTGAGATTCGATGGTCAACTAACTATAAGCGATATCCTAATGATCATTTATGTTTTCTTAATTGTAACTTTGTCCAATCTTTTTGTTTACTTTCTCAAATTGATGGTCAAGATGATGAGGATGAGGATGAAAAAAGAAGACAAAAAATTAGACTTGGAAGGATGGAGAACCGAGTCCCGTATAGTTGAGGATAAAATTAATTGGAAAATGATGAGGGAACAATCAATAATATTAATCATTACGATCAACATTTTCACACTGTTTACATTGAACAAGACGCTCAAATCCATCATTAGGTTGATTCACAATTACGAGCTTCAAGTTGTGTCAACCTAACCCTGAATTTCATGTGACAAACTCTGAAAACAAACTTTGAAAATTGTGTTAATTTTGAAGATATTTAACTTTCAATCCACAAATTAAGTTAATTGTAAATGTTCATTCATTATTTTAGGTCAAGTTTCAGGTAAATTATTCATTTAAATTGCTCAGAATCAACATATGAACTTGAATATTTGCTATGATAATCAATATGAACTTTTTCAAACAATTCAAAGTTTAGTGACCTCATTTTCATTAATAGTTGCTGATTATCTGCTAATTAAATTACCACCAAGCCAAGTTGAAAACATTATCTCATTTTCCATGAGTTAATTCATTCCATATGATGATGTATCATGTTGGTGGTTTTTTCCTTCATCACTTTATCCTCATCCCTGTAACTACTTCCCTTTATTTGTATTTGTATTTTTCTCAAAAAAATTTATAAAACTTGAAACCCATGAAAACAAAGAAACACGAAGTTCATGGTAACAGAATTGAAGCTTAGGTGTAAACAAGAAATATTCTGATTCCATCTACTAAGCTTTTCCTCTTTCACTTTCTTTATAATTTTCATTCTGACAACTATTGGTTATCAGTTTTTAAGTATCAACAACAACATCGATGATAACAAGAGTTGATGCATGTTTCCACTCCCTGTTAGTTACAATGCAACAGAACATGAACAAGAATCAAGTTCTGGCTTCCATTTCTTTCAATTCTTTGTACACTAATGGCTATTTCTTGCTTCCTTCAAAAGTAAACTATTAAAAAAATACATGAGGAGAGAGAGAGAATCTAGTGTGATGAAGAAGAGTCATTGAAGGTGGATAATACATGTAGTTGGTTGATGGAACAAGAGAGAGAGAGAGAAAAGGTTAACTCAAAATAGATCCTCTTCATTTTCCACCTCTCCTGTTTTCCACCATAGACTTTAACAGCTCTTTTTTTCTCAACCTTTTTTTCCCAACTTCGAACTTTTTTTTCTTCCTCTTCATATCCTTTCAATTTGCTCCATGTTTAGTTGAATATACAAATTTGTCTCCTCGATACAGTTTGTTTTTCCACCGAGTGTATTTGTTGTATTTACTTTTAGTATATAATAAATACATGGAAGGAAAAGTTTACTGTCGGCAAGGATTGTTTGTCAAAATGAGAATCCCAGGTAACTATGGTGATACATGCAAGTTATTAGTGTGTGTGTGAGAGAGAAAAGGAGGAGTATTCGTAAAGGTGATCGAGAATAAAGTTAAAATATAAATTCTCTCTTTCCTTTGTAATACTAATAACATTTCTTGGCTCTATTTCCATTCAACATTCATGATTGTCTGAGTTTCCAAGTTCCAGATTTGAACAACAGGCAAATCCACACTCAAAGGAATATAATAATTACTATTACATAGCCGAGGTGTTGTACTAAAAAAAATAAGGAGATTGAAAGAGAAAAGCTCCCGATGTTGTTTCAACAGGAAAATCCAATGTAAATTTAATTGAAGGTGTAGATTGAATGATGAGGTACCGCGATCTTTTAATAATGAACAGCAATGTACACAGATTGAGAGAGAGAGAGAAGGTTGTAAACAATAAACCACCAAAAACAAGAATGAAATTGAATGAGAGAGTAATCGTCTTCTTCTTCTTGATCATCCTTCTTCTCTCTCTCATCTTCCAAGACTAATGGTAAATTGTTTTCTTCTTCTTATTTTTCTTCTTTTTCCTCCTTCTCTATCTATTTTTCTCTCCTTTGGTTTTTCCATTCTTTCTTCTTGGCTTGAATTCTACTGATTGTTTGCTTGGAATACGTTTATATTGTGTGAATGAGTGAGTATGTGTATCTAGAGGGATATTTGTGGTAACAATGTGTTGGTAACTTTTACATTACAATGTAATCAAAAGGAAATAACAGGTTCATCAATTATTCTTTGGCTGGAAACACAATCAAATTTCCCTTTTGGCTTTACATCATCATCAACATTCACCATGATAATGATGATGATTGAATGACCAACATCATGATTGCCAAGACACAGAAAATTGTTAACTATAAATACTATTATTATGCTTTATTACATAATAAGTATTTAAGTGAATATATTTTCCATTCACAAAATACTTGCAACAATCTTCAAGAGATTTTCTCACTAAATGAGTAAAACATAAACAAAGTAAATTAGTAAACAATTAATTCTGATACAGATTCAATCAGAATGTGATTAAAATGCAACTAATCAATCAGATGAAATGAAAGGATTAAAATGACAGAAATTGATGTAAGAATAGCAATCAACCAGTAATTTTGTTTTTCTTTTCTCATTTTGATTAATTGAAAATTTGTGTTTCTTTTTTGCTCCTTTATTTAAATTCTGTTAATTGTTTCGCTTTTCTAACGGAGTATTAAAGATTTTTGATGCTTAATTGTTCGGGTTTATTGATGAATATCAATATATAATCATCGTTCTGCAAATAGTTTGTCAACTGAAATTCATTTGGTTGTTGTTCCTTGAATGGTAATTAAGTTAATGATTGTGATGATGGTGATTGTTTTAATCATTTTGATGATGATAGTTATGGGAAGATTAGATGATTCCCATTTTATCCGGTCAACATTGTAAACTTTAATTGTTCCCAAGTAACACAATTGAGATTGATAGTAAGTATATTAGATTAATCTACTCTTTATGTACCAATATTGTGATTCAACCACTAATTTCACAGCTCTGATTTTTTCTCCACCAACAAAATCAAAATGCTTTCTCACTAATCAACTAAACTTATTGTCTTCATTATCAATAAAATCCTTCCGATGAAAAGTATCTTAGTAAGACTCTAATAGAATCTTTGTTTTTTTGTCATCTTCTTCTCTCATCTTCATTGCTTCTCATGTCGTATCCTGATTACCAAGTTAAATTTGCGAGGCCAAAGAGTCGATTCATCACTAGTTGATTGCTTTGTTCACTCTATTTTCTTATCGAGTCAAAAAGTAACCATTGGAAACAAGAACAACCCTCTAGTTTTGTATATTCTCATGGTGGACAAACAGTTAATGGAAAATTGAAGGATTGACCAATGGATAAGAAAGAATAATGATAAAGAAGAAACAACAACAACAAAAAAAAAGAAAGAAAAGAAAGAAAGGTCAGACTTGAATATTGACCAATCAACTCAATTCGAATGACGAACTGAACTCTCCCCTTCTCTTCCATGACGACGTTATTTCCATCATTTCCGCTATTTATCTTCATTGTTGACCTTAATTCAACGGAATAGATAAACACCCTTGACCAATTCATCTTTAATCATACATATCTCATCATCTAATCAAATCTACTCTACATTATCCTTTCTCTATGTTTAGATGATGACTATGAATATGAAGATACACCTAATCGGTGTAATTTTCCAAGTAACAACTTCCTTCCGTTTGATATGAAGAAAATAAGATGAAAAAAAAAAATCGGAAAATGTGAAAAGTTGACAACTATTCTTGGTGACACGAAGAATAATCAAAAGATTGGCAACACAATCAAAGGAGATCACTAATTAAATTAAACTCTAATGGTAAGTAATCTACTTCTCTCTTGAAACTCCTCCATCTTTAAATGTGTCGAAACTGTTATTTTCTGTCTACTAAAGCAAAAATTTTCTCTTCCTCATCTTTTCAATTTAGAACCTTAAATTGATGAGCATCATTAAAATTCATTTAGAGCGATTGGTTTCATCTATTCTTCATGCATCCACAAAAGTTAACATTGAAATAAAAAACTTCTTTCAAGAATATTAACTCAAATCAATTGTTTCCATAGACTCGAGTTAATTACTGGAATCACAGGCGAAAAGCTGAACAACCTTGATCGCCATCATATCTCATGTCTTTGTCAAATATTGAAGCTCATCACTTGAAATCTGATCAGAGTTTTTATCAACAGACCATCATGCAGATCAATTGATACCAAACTGATCAGATAGGAATGAATGAAATCCTCAAGTCGATAATGGGAATCGAAATAGACAATTCTTAAGATCTAAAGGCGACAGAAAGCGAGATGATGGTGTGAATATTCATGTCGATAATAATGTAACACCTTCTCCAGTTCGAATAGAATATTTTTCTTGTCATCAACTTGAGAGCAAAGGATTTTGATGACAGGGAATGAGAAGACACAATGGAAGATGAAAAACATCAACAGAAAAACAAAGTAACGAGAAAGAAAAAGTAAACTGGCTAAATGAATGTGTTTCCCTCTTAAAAGAAACATTTTCCGAATTAAATTGGCTAAATCAGTGGAAATTGTATTTCAATTGAAATTATAACTACTGATGAAGAGAATTTTTTTTTCTATTTTCTCCCAAACAAAACATTAAGAGAGAAAAAACTTCTACTGGTAACGAAGTCGAAGTATTGTACAAAGGTGAAAGTGAATGAATGTTTTTCGAAATCCAAATGATTCTCCCTCAATTGCTTCTCCTAAATATCATGTAAGATTATCTTAATCGACTTGGATTTACCCTCATCTTACCATCGTCACCATGATCATTATCATTCTCGAGGACATGATCAGTTTTTTTCCTCTCTTCTACCTCATCAACATCATCATTATCTTCACTGTTGAAAAACAACTAAAATACTCGATATGAAAAAGATACACTTTTAAGAACTAAAAAGTTGGATGATAAAAGAAGATGAAGATAAAAGTTATAAACAGTCAGTTCTCTTAATAAGTTATGTGTTACACTACTTTCAAAGATGACTTGTCATCCTCCCTCCTCATCACCATCACCATCATCTTCATGTTCCCCCTGAGGAGTGTTTATAACAAGCCTTTGCCTCTCTCTCTCTCTCTCTCTCCCAGTGTTCATTTCTTTATGTATAAAAAACGATGCGTAATGTGATAAATAGACAATTTAGATACTCTCACTTGCTAGATGATGAAACTCACTTTTTATCCCATCTCTTCATCTTCTTTTTGCATCTTTGTCATCATCATTTCTCCCACACAATCAACAATCAGAATCTTTTCATTTCCATCACTTTAACTTAACCACACAGTTAATATCGTTCACTATTAACGAGATTTTGTTCTCTTTCATTCTTCAACAGAAGCAACAAATATTAATGTCAATGGAAAATAGGGGGCACACACATAACGGTAAACACTCCTCGTCCCTTATTCTCATCAAGTGACCTTGTCTCGAGACATCGAATTGACTGTGTACGTGTGGCTCGATCTAAACCTAACCACCGACATTGTCTGAGTCTCTATTGGAAGAATAATAGAGAAAGTAAAAGGATAAAGTAATAATCATGATGGAAAAAGAAGGAGGCAAAAAAAGCGAACCAATAAAACGAGTCACAAGAAGATGAAGATGAGAAGAAGAAGAAGAAGAAAAAGTGTAATGGTAAGTACATACACCGATTATCTCTTTTTCTACTGATTTCATTTCATTTCAAGTTTTAAAATCAATCAAGATTCTCAATCTAAATGAGCCTTCAAACCAACAATTTCTTCATCTCCCTTTCTCATTTTCATCACCATCTTCCTCTTTATCTTTATCTTCATCCTTCTTCTTATTTTCATCTTCATTTATTTTTTTCCCTTCTTTTCTATAAACACTTTCATCTATTCTGTGTCCTCATCATCATCATCATCATCTCATGAAATTAAGGATATCATGAAATTGAAAAGCAACCAAACTCACTGATAAACACTCACATTTATATTTATAATGATAACAAGAAGTAGGAAAAGATGAGGATTAATGGCTCAAATGGAATGAAGAAAATGTGTCAGAGAGAGAGAGAGAGAGAGAGAGAGAGAGAGAGAGAGAGAGAGTATCAATTCTAACTAACACATGAGAAAACATGAATTCCAAGGGAAAGATATTGGTTATCAATGACGATATTTTAAAGGAAAACAATCAACGGAGGAATGAAAAACCACCCGAGATAATAATAAACCATCATCATCACTATCAACAGTAATCAACAACCATCAGCCCAACAAAAGGATAAACAAGCAAAACAACAAGAGAAAAATATTTCTTGTTGATTGTTTGAAACATTTCCCCATCTCCATCACCACCAACACCGACAACAACATTACCCTCACATTAATAACATTATCCAATCTCGTTATTTAATCTTGACCTTTTTTCCCAGAACTTTAATACAGTTATCATTTAACTTTAATCAACAATTTCCTGCAACAATCTAAAAACAATCAACCACTAATGATAAACTTTTCTTACCCTTAATCATATAGGCTTTCTGATTGCTTAATTGTGATTTCCAATTCTTCCTGAGCGACTTATATCAAATCTATAGTTTGTTTTACCTTTAATTATAATCTAATCATATGTTCATATGTTGATCACAATTAAGTTAAATTGAGCTTTAATAATAAGATGGCGATGTTTTCATATCATTTTAATAGTTAATTGTCCTATGAAAATAGTAATTATTGTTTCTGGTTAACATTTGATTGAAATTTTCATTTTGTTTTCATCAAAACTTTTAATGATTATTATTGTTGATAATTACTTTGTAATTGTCATCTTAATTATTGTTGATGATCAATCAAATCACAAGATTCAACTTATTAATTAACTGTGTCATGAAATGAAACAGATTAATTGAGTAAATGATAGTTAATCATTAAAACAAGATGATGAAAGGTAAAAGTTTACCATTGATTTTACTTAATCATTTGATTATTTGATTACAATCAACAATTAACAAAATTGCCAACAAATCAGAACGAGGATTGGAAATGAATTTTTAATAATGACAAAGATTTTAATTAGAAAAACGAAATTAAAAATCTAATCAAGTATTTATGATGAAATAATGAAATATGAACAAATTTTTTACACAATTAACAATTTAATTTACCTGAAATACTTGATTGTCAGTTGTTGATTGTTGACCCAATTTTCAGATTGGTTTCTCCTGATTATTGTTATATTATTTATATATGAGAGTCACAAAATCACAATTGAATCTCAATATATAAGATATGAGTTAATAGTGATAACAATTGATCCAAAATTTAATCAATTGTAATCAATATATTGAACCAGAACAATTTATTTATAAAAAAAAATCAATCAATTCATTGACTGGCAAAGCAAATGAAAAAGTAACATCAACATGGAGACAAAAAAAAACAATAACAGTTAACACCTAAGGAAAAGTAATACAATGTATTATTATTATTGCAATATTTATACCTGATTGTTATTTGTCTGATGATTATGATTAGTGATTATCATTATTATGATTAACTAAATGGTGTTACCATGATTTTAACTGTTAATTTGTTGCTCCTTAATCAATACCAACCATTGTAACAATCAATTGAGACTTTGAGACAAACTATTTTCAAACTCACCAATTAATATCAATATTTAACTAAACAGTTTGCTATTGATTAAATGATTATAATTGATTCACATTTAAATACCTTGTTAATCAAGATAATATTTACATGTATCAATAATCATCTAGTTAATTTTGTAATCATTATCATTATCAAGATAATCAACAGTTAATGGTTAATTGTGGATTCTTTTTGTTGTCATTTTGCTTTTTCTATTGCTACTGATTTAATGATGGATTTAAATTGTTTACCTAATTGAAAATTATGATTACAATTTCATTAATTCAGTTGCAATTCAATTTTCCACTTGGAATGATAATTTTCCCATAGTATAGATGATCCGAAATTCAATTTAACAATGAATATCTTGATTCCCTGTTTATTTTGATGATAATGATTAACTTTAATTGTCGTTGATTGTTATCAAATCATTTACTATATTGCTGTTTCAAGCAGTTTTAAAATGGTAAAGTTAATATTGAAATGATTGAAATGATTAATATTTTCCAAAGGTAAGCAATAAAAAGTGATTAAATTATTCCTGATGAAGATATTACAATTTAAGTTACAATTAAATTAAATCAAGTGTAACAATAATGTTACAAGTTAATCCATGATAAGAAAAACAATTAGATTCAATGATTAAATTGTTATTGATTGTGTGTGAGTTGTTAAGGTAAGACAAATATAAATACACAATCAAAGACACACACTCAGGATTAAGTTAAATAACCAAGTTAGTTGGTTAATTGTTGGTCACATAAATTGTTTATTATCAAAGATTAATGATATTAGATTATTAATTCAACCAGATTCATAAAGCTAAGGTAAGACAAATGAATGTTGAGTTATAATAATGACTTATTTTCATGATGATTATCTTGATTGTTATTAATGATTAGTAAAATTGAATTAGTTGGACTTAATTTTTGTTGCTCAAAGATGATGATTAAGTTAAGGTTATCACTGAGGGAAATGAGATATTTATTGTTTAAGTGATGTTAATCAGTTTCCATCAAATCTGATGATGATTACAAATGATTTCAAGTTAAGATACAATGTAAATGTATCTTGTAACATTTTATTGTATCTTCATCATCTTCATCTTCATCACTTTTTTACTAACTCATTTACAACTCTCTTACTCTTTCAGCAACTTAATCATCTTCATCATTTCCTGTTCATCTTCACTTCTCTCATCATTATCATCATCGTTGTCACCATCATCATCCCCTGTCATTCACCAAGGAAAGGGAGTTGATGTCTTATTTTTTTTGCTGATGTTTCACAGCTTGAAACTTGTCTCTCCATCATCTCCATCCTCATCCTTGTCGCCATCATCATCTGCTGATTTCCTTTCAATCGCGTCATCATCACCAAAGTGTTTAGTATCACTTTCATCATAAACTAATATCATATTTTTCTCAGATCCGATCATTGCATCTTCAGGTTACTAGAGATGCGAAAACTGTTAAATAAAATCAACTGTTGGTTGAATAATTGTTTTTGAATTTTATCGGTTTGAAAAATGAGCATAAATCATGTTAACAAGATCAGAATCGTATGAATTTCCTATTATATTGTGTGTGAAATAAATCAGAGTTAAAGATTGAATTTCAACTTATCCATGAAGATGAGGATAAAATAGAAAGAGAGAAAGAATATTCTGTAGAATAATAATCACAATTTCCACCTACAACTCACAATTTCTCATCTTCCATCATCATGAGAAAATGAACAAAAGTGTTTCTGTTGAGTGAAAATATTTACCCATAATTTTGTTCACAATTCATGTTAAGATTCAACCTTTTAACCTGAACATGGAACAAAAAATATTCTAAAAGCCTTTTCTCCAGAGCATCGCCATCTTCATCCTCATCTTAAATTGCAATTGAGTGATGATGATATTTTATCAATTATCATGATTATCCAAGCTACTAAGCTGACTGACTATGGAAAATGGAAGCAATTAATTGAATGGTAACCAATATCCAGACTAAAATCGAGTACAAAGTGATTAGATTCTGTTTTTTTCAGTTCAGTTCGATTTTGCATCTCAGAACTTTTCAGATTGACAGAAAAAGCTTTTAAATACTTTTGTACCGAGGTGATTTCGAGACCTCTGATGAACCTGAAAGTCCTTGTGAGGGAGGAAACAGCAATTCACCGTATATATCAAGGTGAATGAGAAGAAAAAAGTGAGTGAGAATTGGGAGTGGGAGTGGAAAAAGTTTATCACATAATACAAAAGGTTCTGATTAGGTTGCTGATTGAAGCCTGTGTGAAAGAAACCATATGAACACCGATGAAGATAAAAAGGTTTCAAAAAGTGGTCTTATCATCATCTTCATCTTTTCATCATCATCATTTTACTCATGGTCATCATCTTACATCATCTTAACACCTTCAATGTGCCAGAAACAACAACAACAACTTTCATTATCCACTTTTACCTTGAACAGGAATTGAATTAAACATTCAAATTGTTTATTCAAGGAGTGAAACTTATCATTATTATTACTTATTACTTATTACACTGAATCCATGATAAGAATCAAGAAAATCCCCTCAAATCAATGAGTAATTATCATGATGGAAATTTAAAAAATTGAAAGAAACTAAAATAATAGTAAAAACGTAATTGAAATGTAATGAATTGAAAAATAATTTCAAACTGATGATGTAATTGTAATGATGATAATCATCATTATCAATGATAAGTCATAACTTTTTCATGTCAAATTAATCCATAAAAATACAGGGGAAAGGAGTTATAAGTTCATTGAGGAAAATAATAATAATTCCCTGATAATAATAATCGGAAAACAAAGATAGTTATCATAATGATAATAGAATCATATCTCAGATGATGATGATTATCATCATCATGAGCACAAGAATCATTCATCGATAATAATCAATCGATAGGTGCTCGAGCGTAATCAATGAATCAATCATCACCCTTCACCCTTTTCCTCCTTCCTTCCTCCATCTCCGCCTCCTAATTCAGCCTCATACTTGATAATATTCATCATCATCATCATCATCATACCCACCGCCGCCTCCTTCTCCTCCGCCTTGTCCTCCATCCCCACCAATCATTATCATTAACATGATGATAATAAAAAAATAATAATCATACAATAACCATGATAATCATTTGATTCCTTATCCCATGTTGACTGATTTTTTTTATCCAGATAACTGATTCCAAATGTCATCTCTGTTGAAATTCATCATAATTTCAATTCTAAATCAACTATGAAGATGATACATTTTTTTTGCTCTTTTTCTATCATCATGAATATATTTTTTTCTCACTAACTTTATATTCATGTTAATTCATTCACATGGAAATGAGAATCAGTTAAAAATGTTTCCAAAGGAAATGTTGTAAAGACGATGATATTTGTCTCAACTTCCGTTTCTAATGAATATCATTTCATATTTCATTCGGTTGTTTCATATTGGAGAAACAAAAATTATCGAAATTCTGTAAAGTATCATGAATATGAAGAGAAAGAGAGAGAAAAAAATAGTTGCAATTAATTTTAATTTGATGGATTTCGAGAGATGATTCAATGAAATAAAGAGTTATCTTCTTCCGAGATGATTCCATGGTGATGGAGAAGATGCTAGATTGATATGTCAAGATTTCTCTATCATCAAATTATCCTCATCATCATCATATTTTATCACCAAAATGATGACGATTGTTACTGTTACTTTTTTTCCGAATTCAACTTTATCGGATGTTCAATGGGTTATGATTGTTTCGGTATAAAGGTGGATTAAGAAAGAATGACAATGAAAAAATAGACGATCAAGATTAAGATTATAATCTACTAGTTCTGATTCTATAAGTGATCGAGATTTTTTTTTTCATTGAAATGAATTTGTAACAACCTTCAGTCCATCATTGCCTATAATAATAATAGTAATCATCATGATGATAATAAGGAATCAAGCCTATAACCTTAATACACATTCAATAACTAAGTTGGAAGATGAGGATGAAATAAAGATGATCAGGATGATGAGGAATAAGAAGATGAGCTAAAGAGTAGCAAAAGTAAGTATATTGTTCAAAGTGTTGGTCAGCAAGTGATGATAATGGATTAAACAATATGGGTGGACGAGAGAGAAGGAGAGAGAGATGAAAGCGATTTGATTACAAACAATCAAAGGAATTATCTTGTTGTTACTCAACAATGTTTATCAATTAAACGAAATCAAGAATCAAATGATTGTTAACAATCAGGAAATTTGATTCTTTGACATGGTAATCAGTTTTATTCTCAAGTGAACTTGTTCATGAAAATGAATTTAATTCAGTGATTATTAGTTAATCTTTTGTCTCATCAATTACTTTCCAATCTTTATGATGATTAAGCTTAAGATTAGTTTAGACTTGAGATTAAAAGGATTCAACTGGTAAATCCAATTCAAAGTTAATTTTTTGATAACTGGACCGTGGTCAGTTTGATTAACATTGTAAATTTGTCTGATCAAATTAAAAGAGTAACATTGAAATAAACAATTAAGTAAATATTGACACATTAAGATGAGGATAAGAATCAAAGTTTAAAGATACAGAAAATGATAAATTTTAATCACAGTGAAACATTTAAATTGTATACAATCAACTAACTAACTCAACTGACACTCGCTAATTCAGCAATTAAATATGAATAAATAACATTTACAGAAAAAATGACATTTAAATTGTTTCCAGTTAACGACAATTAATTTCACAATCAGTGGGAGTTTCAACTTGACTTGCTCCCTTTCCCCATGGCTTATTAATAACTAGATAATATTATTACAGTTACAATAAATTATCAATGAATAACCAATGTAAAAAAAAGTCTTCAATGATTAAGTGAGTATCAGATGAATGAAATTAAAAAATTAATCATTGGCAAGGGAAAAAAACATAACAATCAAATTGAAGTAAAAAAAAGTTTTGATTCATTAGCGATATTATTAATCTGAGTAACGGTAAATTGTATTAACAAACTATTTCCATTTTTCTATCATAATCATGAATCTTCAACAGTTGAATCATGAGATATTTTTGAATTAAATCAATTCATTCATTTTCCAAACCATTAAGACTTTGAAAGGGGAAAGATAAAAACACTTGAACCAGCATCCTCATCATCTTTTCATCTTCTGCTCATCATCATCATCATCATCCGTACGCTCACTTAAACAAAGACAATAATTGATGCAAAAAAAGTAATCAGGGAAGGATTGATATTCGAATACATTGAAAGGACTCAGATGATTATGATGATCGTGATAATGATAAAAAAATGCTGATGATGATCAACTCATTTGTCTTAAAGGATGCGGAGGAAGATACAAAATCAACATTGAAGATAATATCATTTTAAATGGTGAAATTCACAGAGGAACGAGAGAAAGATAAAGATGATCAAATTAATTTCGGGTTCCCTCATCATCTTCATCATTGGCCAATGGGTGAAATGTCCTCCCACCCCACCCTCTTTCTCTTATTCGAACAAATTAATTCTCTCTCTCTCTCTCTCTCTCTCTCTCTCTCTCTCTGCTTTTTCTACTCATGTTTATCACTATTGCTGCTGTTACCAAGTTATCCTCATCTTTCATCTTCTACTTTATTAATTCTGTCTCTTCATCTTAATCATCATCATCAATGATACAAATGATTTCTGAATGATAATCAACAATGAGAAGAGATAACAATTTGACAGATCAACACAGACTGAATATCATTCATTCAATTCACTTACACATTTAACATGTTTATCTTGATTCACATCTTTTTTTTTATCATGAATCTCATGGTTAGTTGATTTAACTATTAATTTGATTTAAAATTTAAAGAAATCAGATTAAATCAAAAGATATCATCATTTTGTGTACATTGAAGCAAATCCATTTATCATCAATATTATTATCTCATACTTAAGATTGTGAATTGAATTAAATTTGGAATAAAAAAAATTACGTAAATAATAACGTGTAAACCATAATAATAATCAATTGAATTATGATCAATTTAAAATGTTGCTCAGGAATGGGAATCACAACTATATTCAGATTCAGTTATGTTTCCTCAAAATCACTTCAATTTCATGGGAAATGGTTCATGATTGAATTGAGATCAATGCTTTCAAATGAAATTCACAAGAAAAATTTTCTTAATTTATGCAAAATCTCATTTCTCATTAAGTATCTAAATTAATTGTTTAGTAATTAAAGCTAATAAATACTAATATAACATGAGACATAAAACTTACATTGGTCCCAACTCATATCGGGAACGTTAATAGATGTAATCAGTTCCTTACCTAAAGGAATGAAAATAAAAAACAATTAATTATAACGGTAAACATAAAGTTTTTTCAAAAAAAAAAAATTATTATTTCGCGAAAACATAAACAAACATAAGATAAATATGATAAATCAGTTTTACCATAGATCACAATAAGTTACTGTTTAAAAAAAAGTAGCTTTAAATATAATTTATGTTGTAAATTTTAATCAATTACAACAATAGTAATCAACAATCAATGATTAATTTCAGTTGAGCCCAAACAAATAAAGATTAACTTTGAATCTCAATCTAAATCAACTTCAACTTTTTCAATCCATTGCTAACCCTTTAATCAACATATGATTAGTATATTAACTAAACAGATGATAAATGATCTGTGTCAACTAAACTGTCAGAAAGGAGGGTAGAAAGAAAAGAAAAGAAATAGAGTGAGTGAGTGAGTGAGAGAGAGAGAGAGAGAGTAGTTTTCACCTTCTCCATCCTCCCACATCTTCATCTTCATCTTTATCTCCATCACCTTTGTCGAGTCTATGGTCTTTTAATATCAATTTGACCAAAGGAAACTTTTACTTTTCTTCACAATTTTTTCTCTCTCTTTCTCACTCTGTTCCATATCTTTCCCCTCTCATCATAATTTTGTCCATAAAGATAATTTAATATATAGAAATAATTATTAGAGTAACTGTACTTTGATCCATTTCATTTTCATTGTTTGTTGCATGCTGGTCTTTGGTGTTATTATGATTGAAAGCTGCTGTTATATTTAATGTTGTTGCCGAAAAGTTAGTTAAGTTGATTGAGAAAAACAAAAAGTTAACTGCAATTAACTAATCACTAAATAGTCCTTCAAGAAAATAAAGTAATTGTTAACAGATTGTCCAGTAAATGGTTGTTGTGTCTAAAGCCTTAATTACAGATTAATGAAGGTGACCAAGGATCAAAAATATAATCAAAGTGAAAAAGACTCAATATTGTTAGAAGATGATAAAGTTTTCGCAATATGATGACGATGAAATTACTTGTAACAAGATGAGGATATTCAGGAAGTGGGTGGACAAGGGATACGGACGATATCAGATGACAGATAATCTCTGGGTCAACATCTTAAGGTAAACTTGATTGGGTCAAGATGCAATCAATTAGTTGGTCAGTCATTCTAATTGTTTATTTGTAAATAAATTAAGTGAGTCAAAATTGTTGATATCATTTATATTTAATACTAAATCATCAAGATGAAAATGCTAATGATAATGATTAGTTGAATTAATGATGAAACCAAAAAGTTAAAATCATTAATCACAATAATCAAGTAACAATGTTAATCCTGAGATACAAATTATGATAATTAAATGATTTTCATCAATTGTAGTTGATGATAAATTGTGATATCGGCAATAAGACTGCTAAGTAACAACCTAACTAGTGATAAATTGATACAATTAGCAAAATCCAATCTAGATACAGCTTATTATATTCCTCCTTGAAATTTGTTATAATAATAATCTATTGATTTAAATGATTTAGATATTATTTAATAACAATCAACAGAAAATGTTGATATCATGATAAATAGGAAAACAAATTGAATAAAAGCAAAATCAGTTTCAATATGTTAAAAGATTGATGGACAGAAGATGAATGTTATTTTTTAACTGACCATTTGAATAGTAGTAGTGTTAAACTGGGATGAGGGAAGTTAGTTCACTTTATGAACAAGTAAAATGTTAACAATTATTCAAGATGAATGAATTCACATCAAGGTGAAGTTCAGACTAAAGTTACCATGAAGTTCATTGAAAATGTAAGAATCTTGTTTATATTCAGACTGTTTTCCATCCTCTTCTCTTACTCAACCACATCCTCCTTTTCTCATGCTGATTTCATTTAATTTCTAATTTGCTCAATCAACTTCAGAGATTATTAACAAGGAAAAGGAGCAAGAGAGAGAGAGAGAGAGAGAGTCACAAAGGTAATCACGATCATGATATACTCCTGAATATCTTTGCCTTCTCACTGATTGATCTATGGTGCTTTCTCTTGAACAGGGAAGTATAATATAAGAAAGCTAATAGTGGCCATTGGTCAGTAACTTGAAACAAATTCGGAGTAAGAAAAAACAGAGTAATAACCATGATAGTGAGGATAATGATAAGAAAAAAAAAGTAATCTGAATATTCAGTGATCACAGTGATATTTTTATTATTAGATGAGGTATATTATTCCAGTATAACATAATATTATATCCTGATAACCTCTTGGTGTATTTTTATGTGGCCTAGGTCAATCTCATGGGAGGTTAAAGACAATTTCATGGGCTAGTAGGCTCAATATAACCTGTCTGAAATGAACAGTGAAAACCATGATGATAACATGAGGCTGATACAGATATAATATAATTCCCTAACAGAAGAAAAGTAAGAAAAATAGAAAGAGTAAAGTCAACTAAAGTATTTTTATCCATAGAAATGATAATATCAATAGACTTAACTGTCATTGTATCTCTCACCTTATAACCTCACCTTGGACTTATCATCATTACTCTTATCTTAGGTTGTATTATCTTCAACAACAACAATCATGATGATGATGATGAGGAAAAGGATAAGATTTTTAATAGGATTTCTTTTTATTATGTGTGATGATTGTGGAAAGAAAGAGGAAAAGGAAGATGAAGATGAAGATACGGAAGGAAGATCTTGTTATTTCATCTTAATCATCGGTAAAAGATTGTAACAGTTAACATAGAGACTGAGATAATCTTTTCCTGAGTTTTTTCATTCCAACATTCATCTTATTCTGAGTAATCTTCCATTCAGAATATACCAGTTTTACAATTAATTGATAAAATATTAATTGTCTCGAGTTCACAATTCATATATGTGATATTAACATGTTTCATTTTCATTTTGGTGAAATATCAAAGACTCAGAAATCAAGCAATTGTCAATCATGTTTAGGTTTAAACCAAACTTCATCATCTTCATCTCATTGACAATTGTTATCATCATCATTATCTGATAAGATGATTACAATCAACTGATTACATGGTAATAATTGATATACAGAGACAAAAGTTAATTGTTTCCAAGATGATGATGATTTGTAATAAGTATTATTGTTATTATTGCTATTTTTTATATCTATCTGATTGTTATAACATTTGATTGATTATTAATTACTACGATAATAATAATTACCTCAATAAATTAATTTCTTGATTTTTTTTCACATTCATTTCAAACAATAACACTAATCATAATGATGATAATGATGATCCCTCATTTCATAATGAAAAGTGATCATAATTAATATTATTATATTCAATTAATTTGATTGGTTTGATAAAAAAATTTCCCAATCAAAGTTTTTTACTTGGATATTAATAATTCTGATCATGAACAATCATCGTTACAATTCAATAATTTCGTTGATTTTGAAATTCGTTTGAAATGTTCAAGATTTTATATTAATACTTCCGATGATCATCAATCTTTATAATTACAGAGAGAAATCAAAGTTATCACAATCGAAAATGAATGAGAAAACTTATCAATATTCATAATTTCCGGATAAAGAAAATAATCAGAATTTGGCTTAGCAATTAATCTCGACTAATTATTAACTTTATTGGACTAAAAGTTTCCCTGAAAGTTTCATGGTGAATCCGATAAAACGATGTAAATATAATGAGATCGCCATCTTTTTCCAAGGTTTCAGCATCTTCATCATTTTCTGTTTATGATGTGAACTCGATTGACAGAAATCAAGATTTTTTTATATTTCTATTAATATCAGAAAATTACTTATGTAAATCACAGCAATTACCATGACGTGTTTGGAGAGGGTTAAGTTTATCATGAGTATTTCAAGGATTTAAAGAAGAGATTAAAATTCAATAACTGTTACATTGACAAAAAAAATACCGATGAGTTTTTTTCAAAGAAAAAATCTTCATCACCTCATCTTTTTTATCATCTCATTTCATCCTCATCAGCAAGTATCAAGAATCAGCATCTTCTGTACACATATAAATCAGCTTCATCCTTTTTTTTCATTGTCATAATCAATGGACAAGTGATTAAGCAAAAAAAAAAGGCAAAATCTTGTCGAGGAAAAAGTTGAAGGATCATCTTCATCATCTTCATCATCAAAAGCATCTCAAGGGAAATTTTTATTTCTCCATCATCATGTTAACCATCAAGCACAATGAATCTTTCTCATCATAACCTACAAAACCATCAACTCAATTAATGAATCAAAATTTGGTTAATTAAACAAGCACAATCGTTAGCTATTCAATTTAAACTCAGATCAAGTTAAATGTTCATCTCTACAAAACGACCTTCACTTGACCATCAAGTTGAATTCTAACTTTTTGACCCACTTTTAAAAGCTAATGAGGCCACTTTTATCCGAAAATGACCATTCAATCAGACTTATCGACTTATGTAACGGTTTTACCTGAACATCAACAAAAACAACAATAGATTTTATTACAAATTTCCAGGTAGTGAAAAAAAAATGAGAGATATTCAAATAACACCATTATTATTATTATTATTATTAATACAATAATCGTCATCAACATCATCATTATTGTATTATGATGATATTTTTTATTGTATTTTAAGTTTACGTTGCCAAAGAGACAAAAAATGTCTCTTCCTTATCGTTCTGTATGTTTATCATCATCTATCATCATCATCATCATCATCCCTTACTTTTCATCATCATCATCACCTTGGATACAAATTACACAGGTAACTATGCCAACCAAAGAGTACATTAAATAATAATAATATAATAATAATAATAAAATGAATATTATATATATATGATAACTTTCAATTCGGGTTTAGTTAATAGGTTATCAACACGAAAAAAGGATAACTTTTGTTTCATCATCATTATCATCATTATCCATAATACTCTGAGTGATCTCAAGAGTCTGTATCTAAATACAATATTAATCATATGATAGGCATGGAAAACAATCAACTAACAATCATCATGATTAACCTGAAACTGTTCACTATTAAATAATAGTGAAAAAACAACAACTAAAAATTTATGATAATTGTTATTGTTCGGGTTTGTGATTAATTTATAACCATTTTACAATTCAATTTATCAATTGTTAT